AAAGTATTTGTACTTCGTTACTTCCCATCTCTGGCTGTTTGCAGTATCAGCACCACGGACAGCACCTCCTCTCCTTCCATTTGAACACATTTTAAAATCGGATATAAAATGATATTATGGTCTACATCAGCTGTAAATCAGGACATCATTCAGTCTAAATGATTGTTGGAGTTGAGATGAGATTAGCAGATTAAACAGATTAAAGATCAACCAGAACAGGGTGCTTCAACCAAACACCTTAACTATGGATTCCTGCTTTTATTGGGTTTGTCTGAAGGTTCCTGCTTTAAGCTTTTCCTTCTGAAGCTCAAATTCTTTTTGTTTCCTTCTGATTAGGATCATCAGACGCCTCACTGAGAGCTGAATCGGATCCTTTGGTCACATTAACTCCATCCCAAGCCTGAGTTGTTGGAACACAAAGAAAAAAAATGAGCCACACTGACGATGTGTTCCCTTTTCCTTCGTAGAATCCTTTCATTTATTTACTGAACTTGTTTTTGTAAATAAAAATATGTTTTTGGGGATAAAACCAAACTAAGAAATCTTCCCACTTGGACTCGTTTTATGGGATTTTAGTCATATTACCCCAAACCATCGAAGCTCAGCAGCTTGTTGGTCCCAAACAGGACAGGATGACATGAAGTTTTATCATTTTTTTCTTCAAATCAAAATATTTATTTCATTGGATGATTTCAATCACAGCCCAGCTGGTCAAACAGGACAACAGCTTCACGAAGCTAATCCTGGTAACAAAACAACAACATGAATCTGAAAATTTACTCCAAAAGGATCAAACAGCTGATAACTCCAGATGGGAAGGAAACATTCCCATTTTTCCAGCTTCCTCCCCCCGGAGCGTTGGTGAGGGAATCAGATGAGAAGGTTTCTCCTCCTGCTTCGTTTTCGGGGCTAATCTACTGCACTAAGACGAGCGTTCAGCCTCTGAGACACAAAGCTACACACTGAGCAGCTAACAGTTACAGGAAGTTACAGAAACTTGGCGTGTGGAGTCTGGGTGGAGTGGCAGCTACACAATATGGCAACCATTTGAACATTGATGCTGAGGTCTCTGATCTATAAGTCCATGAAGGGGCTACAGAAGATGGGAGGGAGTTAGGTCTACACCAACGTTAGAGGAGTTCCACCTGCTGACTGATCAGAAACGTTCCCATCAGACAGCGGTTTTCCCAGCATGTTAACGTGCAGGAAACTGTCTGCAGGTTAAAGCGCCAGAATGCAGCCGTCCAGCTTCGCTAAAACAAACGCGTCATGCAGGTTTGCTGAAGGAGTCCGTTAGCAGGGGGTGAGGAGATGAGGAGGAGAGTTAAGAGTCTGTTGAAGTCCTGCTGATGCCTCAGAGATTTTGGTCTCCTGTAGCAGGTTCTCCCTAGAAGGTCAGCACTGAAACGGGGAAGAGAGTCACTGGCAGAGGCAGCTTTCAGCTTCATCCAGGGGGGTTGGCATGCAGGGCAGCACAGAGACAGAGAGGAGGAGGAGCAGGAGGAGGAGAAGCAGACCTCTCACTTACAGTCCACCTCCAGGATGGCTCTGATGGACCGCGTCAGTTCTTTGGCCTCCTGAGCGAGAGTGGCTGCAGTCCACGGACTTTTCCTGTAGCGCGGAGGAACGGCGTGAGACGATGAGCCGGCTTTAACGTCGCCAGAGCTGCGAAGACAGAGAGGATGCGTCAGAGGACGAAAAACTACAAAAACCGGTTAAACTGAGTTTAAGCTGCCGAGCAAGTTTAGATCAGAGGAAAACATTGGAAAAAATAACCTTCAGGAAATTAGATGGAAACTTTATAAAGATAAAAAAACCACAGAGAAAAATAAGTGAAACATCATGACTGTAGGGGCGTTTCCCTTCCAACGTTCCCTGGATCCATTCCGGTTGTTGCTTCTTCACAGGAAGGCTCAGGGCTGGAGCTCAAACCTGGAGCTCAGGGCTGGAGCTCAAACCTGGAGCTCAGGGCTGGAGCTCAGGG